GAGAGAGAGAAGAGAGAGAGAGAGAGAGAGAGAGAGAGAGAGGAGAAACAAGATCTCCCTCGGATTGCGAATGGAAAGCCACGCCAATCACAATCGGGAACGCAGGGCGCCGTTCTGCTCTTGCTCAGGATTGGTCGAGAAAAGTTAACATAGTGCAGCTACAAAGAAAAAAAAACAGACCAAATCTTGACACTTGTCCGGATTGATTGGCGAATTGGCGTTTCGGTATTCCAATTTTAGGTTAGTAATTTCCGTAATTCAGCCGTCTGCATGAGCCGCGTTTACGTGTTGGCATCATGATCTTAAGCTGATAGCAGCTGATCGTTTAACACATTTGACAGGTTCGATTATTTTAAATATCCTCGAATGTTTGCGTCTTATCGAATGTGAAATTTGAACGTAAATAACAGTTTAACATGATGATTCTGGTTATAATCAATAGTTATTTTTTTACAACAGTAAATTTTGCTTGATGAATTTTTATTTATAAATAAAATATACGTTATATAATACGTATAGGTACATTATTTATATAATAAAATCGATTGGTGACAAAAGCTATCCTTGCTTAAAATTATCGAAACGCGCTTGAAGTGACAGAATTTTCAAGCATAAGCCTCTTGGTTTCTTGATCACAAATGCTAATCACAATATGCTATTAAAAATTACAGCAAAGTTATGATTTGCTTAGATACAGTGAACTGATAATAAATGTCCTTGAGCTCAGTCGCAGTGTAATTGTCGCTTAGAGGCATTACGTCTTCGCAGGACAACAAATTTATAACACCAGGTGGTATTCCAGATGTAGAGAATATGTCACAGTATGGCGCCAGATTAAATGAATTACTAGTACATATTACGATGACAGTGTTGCCGATGACTAAGCTCTGTATCAATTTATCAAACAGAACTGTCCCATCTTCCTCCATCAATGTGATAATGCCTTTCGGTTTACGGACTTTTGCTGACATGGCAAATCCAAATTTAGCAAAAGATAATGAAGATTTGTACCATTTTGAGAATAGCACCCAGTTTGAGACTATCAGCGCTAAGTTAAAGATACTAAATGAAAGAAAAAGAAGATAATCCCAGATATTTTACAAGATATTACAAGAGATGCAGATATTTTTGCAATTTAACATACCCACTGTAACGTAATACATGTGATAACTGACTTAATATTTTAATTCTGGACCGAGAAGGTAGAATACTCCAACTATTGAATCCTTTTCTAGCTGATGCGACGCATTTGATAATATCATCTCTATAAATGCATATAGATCAGTTCCAAAATATCGAGTCACTATATTAGATTTTGTCACTATATTAGAATTAAAAAATTTACAGTTTGAAGTAAGACAAAAAATTTATACCTCGATGCATTCGCTCTTACAACATTGTGTTGTATCCAATAAGTATGTTTTATAGGTTTTTGCCATGCACCGTCATAAAACAAAAAATTGTAAATTGGATTTATAGATGTTTGTATATGTTGTATATGTTCTGTTTTTCTTATTGGCTGTATCATGTTTATTATATACTGATCTTCATTCAAATTATCGATATTCTTAGGCAGTGGAACTTTGAATACTTCTATATAAGGCAGAACTACGAAAGCATCATAGAAAGGCATTGTATTTATGAATATAATATTTCTCTGTTAAAAACAAAATCGTTAAAACTGCTAAAATAATTTGATAATATTATATTATGTAATAAATAATGGATATACATCTAAGGATGCTGCTAAATTCTTAGCAGCTATAAAGTCTTCAGACCATATGGATGTTATATTCATTTTGTAAAATGTAGGTAATGTTAATAATTCTTGTTTAGTTTGAAATATACAAGTGGGACATTTAAATTTTTTAAAGTAGTGAGATACAAGAGATAAAAAATTTTGTTTTATCGGTTCTGCTATCCAAATTTTATTCAAATTTCGAAACTTTACTTCATGTAACAGTTTTAAATAATAGATAACTGCATACAAGTCTGCATCTTCAAAAAGTATTATCTCAATGTTCTGACCTATATAAATATGGAAAATATTGATTATAAGAGGTAAAAACAAAATTTTGAAATATATTTCAAATACGTTTTTAATTCTCTTACGTGAAAGTAGTGTCTTATACTGTTTATATTCATCATTATCCGCTGATGAATTTTTACTGAAATATACAAAAATAGTAGATAAGATAACAATTTCGAAAGTTTTTTAATAGAGATATTTTTTAATATGAAACTATTAATGTTTTCAAATAAAATAAAACAAGCGAGAAATTATGTTTGACAATTAATTTTATACTTTTTCATCTATTTTTTATATGTATGCCGTGATATTAATTTTAGCATAAAAAAAAATCGATCGATTAATATGTTCAAGAAATGTAACAGTATATGAATTTTTATTAAATATTTACATAATCATTTCTTCCAAAAATGTTATCATTTCTGGTTTTATATACATACTAAAAAGTGATAACATTATCGTCCAAATTATCGATACTTTATCATTATTTTCTAAAAGAAAAATCAGAATTCAGAAAATTAGAAGAGAGCAACTTAAATTACTTCTAATTTATAACAAGATAAGAACATAAATAAGTAAATAATCATGAAATATCTTCATTGCAAATGTGATATTACCAGATATATCGTTAAGAGTTTTCCAATTAGCATTCGATGGATAATAGTATAATACATCACAAATAATAGTAAATATATCTTTATGATAACCCATATATTCGAAAAAATAATTTGAATCATAAATCGTTTGTATTGTCATTAAAAATCTATAAATATAAAATATAAATATAAAAACAGAAACAAAAGTGGAGACTTATCGTGTTTTTGCGTATCTAAAACTGAATATCCATTTATCAATAATGTTACCTTTTCACAAAATTGTCACCCTTAGGTTGCGTAACATGCGATAGTGTGGGTATTATACTTGATATATTCTGAAAAAACAAATTTGAAGAAAATAGAATTTCACATTTTAAAGAAAATGATCAGATCATTTTAAAAGCCAAAAACTTAGATTCATTATTTTTCAACATCAACAGTGAATTATGCGAAGTACTGAGAAACGTGGGTCTAAACACTCACTCGTTTGTATCTCTCATATTCGACGTAGTCTAATTCGCTATAATATCTGTTAATTAAATCTAGTCGCTCCTTCATGTCCACTTTCGATATATCCAGTAGATCCATGTTCGTAAATGTCTATTTGGAATACAAAATTTGGAAAAAATACACGTGTTTTCACGGACGATCCGTGCAACAGAAATAAACGACTTCACGAAAAAGAAAAAGATACTTGCTCTTGAAACGAGATATAAAATTGTCATAAAGCAAATGTTTACATAAATTTATTTTTGACCTAATAATTGGGAAGAGAAGACGTTATTATTAACAAGACCTCATCGAACGACATAAATAATATTATTCGTCTAAGTTTCGTAAGCCCTAATATCCGTAAATAATACTGTAAATAACACCGATTATGATATCGGCATTCTGCCAACCGATATTCCGTTGTGCTTCCGCTGACATTTTGCCGATAAAATTTGCAATTTGCCAAATACTTTGGAAAATTTGTTTTCAGTAGATTCCATTATTTGATATAGGTCTTGAATTCCTCGCGAAGTAATATGTTGAAAATATAAACTCGATCGTTGGACATTGAACGATTGTGGACGATTATCCGTAATTATCGGGAATCATTACTATATTGTATCGAATACGATCGTAGATAATTAACTACAATCATCGAAGATTTCTGATTAGCGATTATTCTAATGGCTATTTCCAGCAATCGTGACGAGTTTTAATTAATCGTTACTGCGTATTCAGCGGAGGAAACGCTTTTTTCATCGCCTACAGTTCTGTGTCCGCGTGTTCTTATCTTCGAGAATGGATCCACATTATGAGAAGAGACCAATCGCTTACTTGACGCGGAAGGAACAGATCTCCTGCTGTCACCGTTTGAATAGGTGAATGAGATAAATTTTTTTTCATCAAATATCTAATAATCTCCACGATCAATGCATATGTATGTGTATATATATTGATATTTATATATATATAAAACATTATTTCTATATAAAAATTATATATATTAAATCATAAGAGAAGAATTGACTCTTTAAATTGATCTTACCGAAATTGATTAAAGAATTCATAGTCACATCACACTGATTTAATGAATTTTGATTTTAGTCCACATCTGACCGAATACGAAAATGAAAAAGTATATGGAAAGTGCAATAATTTTTGGGGACATGGTCACAATTATACTGGTAATTTGCATCTCATGTCACATGCAGCAATTAACAGCAGCTGTTAACAAGATGTCTGAAAAGAATGAGACAGACATTTTCTTATTGAATACTTTTTACAATTTTTTATTACTTGATTTAAAAAACTCAAAATGATATTTAAAATTATTGAGAAATTGTAAATTTGAAAACTGCGAATGAATGATAACGTTTTGCTAAAGAATTGGATATCATTGTTACTGAATTCTTTCCCACTTTTAAATATTTAATCTTAAATCTTTTACCGATCAGAGATCAAGATCTTGTCGAGATAAAGTCAAATTTATTTTCAATTACAGTAGAAGTGACCGTCCGTGGCCCTGTAGATCCGTTAACGGGGATGGTTATGAACTTGAAAGTCTTGAAAGATTGCATGCAGAAAGTATTAATGGATCAAATGGATCATAAAAATATAGACAAGCAAATAGACTATTTTACAGATAAGGTATCAACAACTGAGAATGTTGCCATTTATATTTTCAACGAACTAAAGAAACTTATGCCCAAACCTGAATTATTGTATGAAGTCAAAGTTCACGAAACTGGCAAAAATGTTATGTATTTTAGGGGAGAATACGAAAATGTATCCTCTATTTCTTAATTAAGTCATTTTGTTGTCATTTAATCATAAATTTGTTATATATTTTTGATATTTATCCAATACTTTTATTATATTTGTATACAATTATATAATACAGCATTAAAATCATTTAAAATAATATGTAAATATATGTGAACTGTACACTGTAAAGGTAATACAAATTTTAACATTCCGTTGTCATAATTTAAATAAAAATTGTAGTTACAATCTACGATATGGCAAAAAATTAAATGCTTCACCCGTAATAGCTTTTTTCTTATTGCACATGTATATATATAGTTTTACACTTAAAATAGTTTTTAGAATCCTGAGATTCTAATCTAATTAATAACTAACAGGACTATTAAGTACATACTATATCTTTATGCATTTCCGATACTTATAATATGAAATATACGTTTATGACTTCTAATAACAATTTGTATTTGACCACCTTTAGAAAATAGTCTTTTGTAAAAAATTTAACAAGAATACGTATCACAATGTAATCATGTCCATAAATAATTTTTAATTTGCTAATGTACATATATAATATCTTCGACTTTTTAATCTCTACTGAGAGGAGTCTGAGGAATTAATTATTGTTTCTATATATGTTACTTTCAATTATGTACATAACTTATCATCATTTATAATGACGAAACGAAAATATTATTTATTATAAAGCTATATATCCTCTTTTTAAGATCTATTTCAGATTTTTATAATAGAAACATTTTATTAATTAATATCATTAAAGAAACAACTAATTCTCGAGTAAAAATTTTAGGCTACTTTGGGATACGTAATTCACTTATTAATCATGGATACTTTCAGTCATTTAAAATAAAAAAAGCATTCAAGATAATAAAATATTTTAAATCAAATATTTCACAAACTTATTCATAATTTAGAACACATTTTCAATGAATTTTAGATATTCAATTGCCATTTATATAGAAATTTCTTATGTGCTTGTTTTTTTCATGTTCTTATGATATGAAATTTAATAATTTTTTTCTTTTTAATGACTTAATAATAGTATTTTTTTAATGATTTATACTTTTTAAAATGAGATACGATATAAAACATTAAAAAATAAACGTAAATTACATAAAACGCCACACCAAACATCTGCATATTTAACTTAAACATTAAATATCGAAATCTAAATGCTAGATATATCATTGTAATAAATAATGTATTACAGTTTTAATTGAGCTTATAGTTATCACGAGAGCTATATATTAGTGTTACAACCCGTTTTCATATAACTTCGAATAGTTACGTATGGTATGCCGAGTTCGAAATCATCTTTGGGCCAATACCTGAGCACCGGTAATTGTTGCGGTTTTTCATCTTGAACCGCAAAATACGCAAAAAGCACCGCCGCGGTGTAGCTCGCAATGAAGATGAATAGATGCCACAGCGCATGAAGATAAGGAAAGTTTAGATTCAGCCAGGTATCGCAGAACAGACGATCGTTCAACCAACAGAATACCGCCAGAATCCATACGGCACCACATCGCAAACCCAGTCTGTATACCTTCATCGAGGTGGTCCTTCAAATTATTATTTTTTTTTTTAAGACATCGTTACGTGTACTTTTTGTATAATTTTTGAGATCTATCTCCAGATCTCTTTAATTATGTTGGAGTCTTTAAATTGATATAATTACCTTTTCAATTCCATGACCAAAAACACGAACGCTGGTACACCTAGGCTCATCAGCGCAAAAGCATTTACCGCCGGATGTATCAAGGCCAAGCCAGTTGCAATTAAAGTAGGCAATGTTGCGCATATAGAGAAGAGCTTTCTATCGTTGCGGACGATATTTGGGAAGTATCTTCTCGGAAAAAACATGCAGAAGCCTGCCATGTATACCCACAAGATAGCTAATTCGTCTAATAGCTGACCTATCGCATAAATACACAAGATTCGTTATTATGCAATATAAATATCGATTTCGTTAAATAAAAGAATATATTGGAAAATATTTAGATATTATTCTTTTCTTCCATAAATATTGTTTTTAAAAAAATTCTTACCTATCAAGGACAAAGTAGCATGGAAATATGCGCTGCTAAGTCCCACTATCATCAGCAAGAACCAGATTACATGAATTCCTGGATTTACAAAGCGTCCATAGTCTCTAAACAAGTGCATGAGCACGGGTGGAAGCAACAGGAAGACTACATTACTAAACTAAAAAATAAGAGAACAGTAGACAAATTAAACAACATATTCTCTTTCTTTATCTTTATTATATTTCTCTAATTCAATTAATCATTATTTAATACAGTTCTGCCCAAAAATATTCTTTTTGAATTATATTCACTAGAAATATGATATTCCATTGTTCTAAAATATAAAATAAGATTCAAGTAGCAAATAAAAACAACACACTTACATGTGCTAATGCAATAAGATAATGGAATGAATAAAAGATGATGAAATATTTGTCATATGTCAGAGATTTATCAGAGATAAGAAATGAGCTTTACAAATCAATATATAAATTGATTATAATATCCTACATCTTTGTTCGTAAGCATGTTATCTTTTGTTATTTTTTTCATGTGTAAATTCCTTATCTTGTTTATGGCTAAACTATTTTTTTGTCCAATTAAGGACAAGCTTTGTTTTAAGTCTATATAACATTGACCTATGAGTTCACCGATGTACTTGGAATTATGCATGAGGTAAAAAATACGTGTTTCAACAGAAGACTGGAAGCAGTTATATATTTGCGTTTATATATTTATGTTGTGGAATAAATCTCAACACAAAACTTCTTTGTAACATATATATATATAAATCTCTTCTTAATATTTTCTGAATTTTAATTTCAAGAATATTAATATTGAAAGATGCAACATTAATTCATTTACATCTTTTTTTTTTACTAAGATAATTTTTTATGCTAAACAGGTTTGTTAAAAAAGTCATGATTTCTCAGAATATAATTCTTGCAAATAAAGTAATTGTATAAGTAAAAGTAAAGTCTATAAGCAAAACGAAAGATTTATAGTTATTACATATACATATATTTTTTTTATATTAGTTTAAAATCCATTTTTCTTAGAAAATTTTCCATTTTTTTATGAATTAATAGTTTATAATTAATAGTTCTTTTATTTAAGTATTATAGATACCTGAAAATCCTTCTCTAACAAAATAGATTATAAATTAATCAAGAAAATATAAGATTTGTAGTAGTATATGTAATAGTTCAATATCCTTTGTCTTGCTTATAGAATATAGAACAATACAAATTTCCTTATTTATAAGAGTTGTTGGAAACTGTGATCTATGATAATTCTTTAACATCTCACATAAAAAACTATCTTAGAAAAAAAGAAAAAACTGAAAATCAATCATCAATCACAACTCTCAATATCAAATAACTTCGAGACTATCTTACAAAATGTCAGACAATGTCAGATTCTACTAATCTCTGATAAAGTCTTTTATTTCGAATCAATAAATTCTTAATTATAACTTCACTATTCTTGCAAAATCAAGAGGCATCTTGAAACCTGAAACTATAGGAGAAATCAATTCTAGATTGATTCGAGAAATCTGGAAGATCTTGCACATTTATATAAATAGATTATCAAGAAACGACGTATACGAACCGTGTTCATAAATTCCGCGATGCTGGGCGAGATGCTGTAGTTGCCCTCGCACCAGTCCACCGGTGAACTGCCAGCCTCGAAGGGTTTCCACATGATGACCGAAACGCGTTTCCTCGAAGTTGCCAGACGATCCGAGAAACCGAGAGATCAGGGAAGTCACCTTACGAGAGCATCGTTCGCCTCGCGCACGAACAATGGGCGCTCTCTCGCATTCGCACGGATATAAATATCTCGGGACCCGTGACGAGAATAGAGAGAGAGAGAGAGAGAGAGAGAGAGAGAGAGAGACGCGTATTCAGTTCGACGGTACGTCGCGAACTGCTACGAATTCGCGT